AATCTAATCTGCAGTGTATGATTAGAAACATTTTCTGAAGGTGTATTGTATCTTTGCTTCAAAAAAATTTGCTGCATATCATCATTTAGCTTATATACACAAAGTGTATCATTCCAAGGGCAATTCTGGTACTTCATTGATATCTCAAGGCTGTTAAAGGGTTCACAACAATGTGCTACGTGCACAGTGGTCCTGGTGAGAGAAAAATATGCACAGAAATACAATTCTTTGTTTTATATTTCAGCATTGTTCATTCACCTGCGAGGGCTGCAGAAAAAGTGGTTGGTGTGACACAAGCTAGGGTTGTACAGGGATTATTTGGTCCATTCATGGTATATAATTTCTGTATATATTCCTATCTATGATTGGTTAAATAGGGAATATTCTTATTCACACTAGGGCAGCAAATTCAGTGTATAAATATACTGTTATAGAGCTGCACCTATGTGTGCAAATATTGAGCCTCTTTTTATATATTGAGCTGCATTGAGTGTGAGGCTCGAGAGCTGAAAATATAAGTCACTTTTAGAGAGATTAATTGCAGTTCTGAGTTAATTTAATCTCTGAAATCACTATGAGAGTGCACTAATCCACTGAAGAATTTCTGAACCTATGAAGCAAAATTTCTGATGCATTTATGTTGATGTTGAGGCTGGATTGAAGGGTCAAAATTGGTTGTAGAGGTTCCAGGTGTTGTGTGATGGTTGAAGCAAGCTTGGTACATTTATTTACATCTGCAGAACTCATGTATATGCCTAATTTTGCACAGAAAAACAATATGAGTACTCATATCTCAGTTTTAGCCTATTTTTCTAGTGCATAGCCTCTAATGGATTGTTTTATGTTGATTACTTCTTGTATGTGTTGAGTTTATGCTTTGAACAAGTATATTTAATCATTATAGAGCTCTGTTGACAAAGATCAAGACTGAAACTTGAGTGTATTTGGTTTTGAACTCTCAAATCAAATAAAACAGCCTTATTGAATAAAATAGCCCACAGAAAGTTTTAAACTCATTCTAGTTGATTCATATTTCTAGCTTTGCTATCATTACCTTCTGAGCATATATATATAACTAGATTGAGGTGTTTGGAATCAAGTTCAAGGCTGTAAGGAAGTAAAATTACGATTTAGTCCCTAAGAACAAAGTTTTAGCTGAAACTGTGCTGTGACTTATTTTGAGCTGCAATTCGAAGTAAACTTGTTATACACTGAAGAGTATTATTCTCAACAAGTTTCATTTATTTAGTGTTATGGGAACTTGAATCAAGGCCTACTTTCACCTGCATTGTAGATTGACCTGCTTATTCTCACTATTGCAGAATTCAAGTGTAAAACTGATGTCAGTTCTGTCCTAGCATTTATTGCGGACTACAACTGTGTCTCTTGTTGAAAGAACTAAAGTATCTAATTGAGTTAGTGCACTGTGAGTATGTGAAGCTGTAAGAACCAAAATTAACTCAAGTTTTAGGTGATTTGACTGAAGACTAGGGTTTAAGATATTTCAAGCCTACTTGTGATCTGAGATAGTTATAACTTGCTTTATTCCCTGTTTCAATCTTTTGAGCATGTTTGTTTGGAGATTACAAGCCTTTTCCAGATTTGTAATTTACCCCTTCAATAGGCCTTTTGTAATTTTGAAACCCTAGAAAAAGCTAGGGTGAGGATCATGAAAAATGGCAAACAGGAAAAGTACGAAAGAAATTTTGCTTGCCTCTACTGAGATTAGGAGGTTGGCTTGGCTGGAAATGGAAAAAACCTTCCAAAGGTTGCTATTAGGTCATAGAGCAGGGCACCATTGAGAAGAACAGAAAAGGTGAAGGACTGAAGATCGAGCTTTGTGAGTTGTGATGGTGGAATAGCCTAATTTCTTGTAGTGATAACCAGCTCATGCACACATATTTGACACATTTAAAAAAGTCACAAATGAATAAAATGTGTAATGAACAGCGTTTTCAGAATTGTTTCATCCATCAATCCCCAGCCTCCAGTGAATTATATTTTCAAAAATTGTATAATCAAATTTAATTTTCATTCCACTCCCTTTGTGGAGAAAGAATTTTCATTTATCTAACAAATTTTGGTAAATGAGAGAACAAAGTGATGAGGTTGTTTCCGGATAAATTAAAAAAAACCCATGCAGGGCCAATTACTGGTAAAGAAAAATGGTCCTTTAAAAAAAATATCTGCAAAACAAAATATATGTACTTGATGCATAGGCTCTCTCTTTTTTTGGTAGGTAGGGGGGAAGTCGTAAAATATCATTAAAAGGCGCCAAAACAAGGGTACGACCCATATAAACAGGAGGTACACAAGAAGGAAAACAAAAAAATATGCATAATCACGATAGATCCATGACGGAGAGCATTAGAACTAAATATCTAGGTAATACTAACTTATAGAGCATTAAAATCCAGAAATTGATAAATAAACAAATAAAATAAAACATAATAAGAGCATTAAAATCCAGAAATTGATAAGTAAACAAATAAAATAAAACATAATAAGAGCATTAGAACTAATTATCTAGGTAATATAAACTTATAGAGCATTAAAATCTAGAAATTGATAAATAAACAAATAAAATAAAACATAATAAGAGGAGTAAGAAATATATCATTCCTAAAATTCTGATCAAACTCAATCTTGGGTGAACAACTAGTGGATATGACCTGCAATAAGTATATAATGGCACTAATTATCAGTTCTGAACAAGATTTTGTGCAGGAGATATTCTCTCCTCATTAGTCATAACTCGAACTTTAGAGTGAAAAAAGAGACTCTCTCTCTCACACACACAAACACACAGTTGAGTAAAAGAAGAGAATCCTAAGAGAAAAGGGACTAGAGTCAATGCTTGCTTCTTTTTGACTAGAGATTGACTAGAGAGAGAGAGATACAAAGTCAAAAGGGTACAAGCATAGGCATTACATTGATTAAGAAGGGCACTAGAAGTTGGGAGTGACTGAATTAATAATTAGGGTTTTTATGTATAAAAATGTAGTGTGTAGAGGAAGTTAACATCATTCCTGAAACCCCTCTATGTGACTCTTATTATGCTGTTCTTTCCACTCACATATGTATCTCTTTCCAATATTTCTAGTTTAAAAAAAAAAAAAAAAAACTATTTTCAAATTCAAACAGTTGTACTTAAGTTATGACGATCTTTCCTCTCCAAATGAGAGGTTGAGAGTTTGAGCCCTGTTAGAGGCAAAATAGTCTCTGTGAGACTTCTCGTAACACTGTTTCTTATTATTGGGATTAAGATTGTGAAGCTGACAATATATGAAGGGATGTTGAGAAACCACCTTCAATTAAATACAACTAAATAAGAAGAAGAAACTAGGAACCAATATTTGATTGAACACAGAAATTGAATCCAAAGCATCGTAAGGTTAACTTGATCAACCATGAAGATTGGTCTATATATATATATATATATATATATATATATATATATATATATATATATATATTGTAGTATAATATAGTAAGCCAATGTGACTGGATTCCTCTAATTAGGATACTAATCGTTTGAGATTGTTAGGATATCAAAACAGATAACAAGAAAATATATGTGAAGCATCATTAGGTATCAGGGTGCAAACAATTCCTTAGGGCACACGCGCCAATGGATTAGTCGGGGCTTTGCCCCGGACACCCTAGTTATAAGAATAAAAACAAGAAAATACGTGGCAAGATGTCATCACTCTGCTGTATTTTGCTTGATACTTGCAATTAGCAGACTTGTCTATGGACCACCAGCATTCTAGGCTACTCTGTTTGTATATAATTCCCTATTTTCTGGACATAGTGGGAAGGAACACAAATATTTTGCTGAGCCAACATATATATATATATATATATATATATATATATATATATATATATATATTATCAATTTTTCACTAAAAAATATCCTATATTAAACATGAATTAATGGAATCATCACTTGGATGAGAATGTTCTGCAATATAACTAAAATAAATAAACATGTTTGGAAGGAGAGGTTCAAAACTACTAAGCTGATTGAAATGGTCAATAATGTGCATTTTGTCAGAGCAGAGGACAAGGTTCAACAAGTAATACATATTGAAGTTAATTTAAAACACTAATAATAATAATAATAATAACAATAAAGACACACCTGTAGATATACAGATAACATGTACTAAAATGGAAATTAAGTATATCGATAGCACAACCTACTATAATACATAACATATATGACTGATTAGTCTCCAGAGCTAAATCCCCTGAACTTTAAACAAAAAAGGTAAGCCTATGCAGTGTTTAAAGTAGAGTTAACCTGACAATGCATATACATTAACACAAGCAATTTGATTGCAAATCCAAAATAAAAAAAATAAATAAAAAAAAATCCAAAATACACTTCAACTCAAGAATACCACTCATTTTTCACTTTCAATTTAGAGGTCTTGAGCAATGTTGATGTGAGAGTTGGACCCATTGCCAACATTCACTTTACCAAGCATTCACAAGTTCACATTCCCACCATAATTAATAATCATCTCATGCCACTTTCAGATTGCACATGAAAGCAAAATCCATTTATCAAAGTGGTATATAAAACTGTAATATATCAAAATCACTAACTGTAAACACAGCAAATTACCATCAAAGAATATACTAATCAAGTTGGGTGTGAATCAAATGGTAATATGGTACTGAAAACAGGTTCATCATCATCAGTATGTAATTTTGATACACAAAAAATGATAAGCCCACATCTTTCTATCATGGGGATAAAAACCGCAAAAATTTGTACTAAAATATTTCTCTTTACACATCTAACACTTTACCACTAAAAACTGTATCCCAAACGAAGCCTATCAACAGAAACACAACAGCTCCATTGAATAATCAGAAATGACAACCCAAAATCTAATAAACAACATAATTTTTTTTTTTTTTTTTTTTTGAAAATTCCAAAATTCAGGAGGAATAATAATCAACAGATTGTTAAAAAAAGGAAATACCTGAGACGAAGGTGCAAAGATAGAGCCGAAAATCCTAGAAGATGAAGAAGCAGATGAGTCCTTTGAACCAAAAAGATAGAAAGTTCAAACAACCTGTATGATTTCCAACAGCAATTCAGACTCAGACGACAAGCCTTTTTTAGATTTGTAGTTTACCCCCTTTTGCAATTTCATAACCCTCGAAAAAACTAGGGTGAGGATCATGAAAAATGGTAAACAGGAAAAGTACGAATAAACTTTTGCTTGGCTCTACTGAGATTAGGAGGTTGGCTTGGCTAGAAACGGAAGAAACCTTCCAAAGGTTGCTATTAGGTCGTAGAGTAGGCCGACGTTGAGAAGAACATAAGAGGTGAAGAACTGAAGAGCTTTGTGAGTTGTGACGGTGGAAGAGGTTTGCAAATGATACTAATTGTTTTTAGATTAAAAACGACGTAGTGTGATGGGCTTCCCTATGTTATAAAATAAAATAATTTTATATTATTTCATTTTTGCGCCAAACAAAAGAAAATGAAGCGCTAAAGTTTGGCGCTTTTTTTTTTTGGGCATTGGGGACGGTCTTCAATAGACTGTGCCAAAAAAAACTTTTTTATGGACAGTTTTTAGGGATTTGGTGACATATCAGGTTAACTATCCCTAAAAGCCTGGTATTAGAGACGGTAAAATTTGCCTGTCCCTAATAATAAGATCTTTAGGGATGGGTTTTAGTGCTAAAAGACTGTCCCTAATACCCTAATTTCTTGTAGTAGATTTTGGGAGATTGCTTGAAAATGGTTGAAAAATTACATACTTGAGGTAGTTTTCTCCTAATGCTTGTTTTGTATGTTGGTGCCTCTTTAGTGAGAAAAAGCTCAATGTTTGTGGGTATCATTTCTGGAAACCCTCATGAGACTTCACTCGTCCACTAGGGGAAACCTAGGGGTTTAAAAGGCTTGTTGCATATGCTAAATGCTCGTGTTCCCTACGAAAGTGGTGTTATCCTTTCATTGCTTTCTAGTTCATAGTTGTGTAGTTGTTTATTTCTTTCTTTTCTTTATAGTTCATTGCTTCTATTATGCTTATTACTAGATTTATTCGATGTAATATTATTTATATTGCTAGAAAAAGTGTTGATCTAAGGGGTTTTTCGGGTATTTCACTTGTAAAATAAAATCTTCTTTTGACATGGTTATGTAGAAAACATGATTTTGGAGGGGCGGCGGGGGGGGGGGGGGGGGGGGTTTCTTCACAACTTTTTGCCAAAAAATGTCATTTAAGCCCTTAAAATCCCATTTGAATTCAGAAAATGTGTGCAGGCCCTGCTCATACTTGAAACCCAAAAAGTCTAATTTTTTGAAACTTTAAGGCTTCAAACCTTCATCATCCCGACTCCAAATCAAGTGATTTTTGAGTCTAAGTTTATTAGTTTTTGCTGGTCTATACAACGGTATGCATGGTTGCATCCAATTCTATCTAAAAAGACAATTTTACCCCTTGTAAAATACCCTTACCGCACTGATTTTAAACCCAAAAGTTGATTTTTATGAAACTTTGACGTTTTATATCTTCTTCGTCCAGACTCCGAATCAAGTGATTCTTGAGTCTAGAATCATTAATTTTTCCTGGTCTATCAAACGGTATGCTCAGTTGCATCCAGTTTTGTCTAGAAAGACCATTTTACCCCTTGCGAAGTACCCTTGATGCATTGATTTCAAACCCAAAAATGTGATTTTTATGAAACTTTGGAGCTTCATATCTTCTACATCCGGACTCCGAATCAAGTGATTCTTTGGTCTAATTTGATTAGTTTTTTGTTGTCCTTCCAGCAGTGTGCTCGGTAGCATTCGAGTCCATAGTTTTCAGAAATGACTATTTTACCCCTGGGGGCTTATTTGTCATATTTTCGATCTTTGCTTCCGCATCAGTTCTCATTAAGTTCCACGGACTTCTTAGAGTCTTGTTTTCTATTTTTGCTTCCGCATTTCGGATCCGTTATCGGGTCAAACTATGGTTCATCACAAGACACACTGGGTTGAAAAAACCAGGGTTGTCACAGGTGGTATCAGAGCTCCTAGGTTTGAAAACCTTAGGACGACGGGTTTTAGGTGCATATCATGCTTGTGTTGCCATGCTCTATGTGTTTAATTGCTTTTGATAACATGTTGAATTTGATCACATGTTTACGTGCTTATGTGGACGTATGTTTAGAAGTTTCGTTAAATGTCTCAGCATGATATATATGGTTGCTTACTTTAGTATATTGTATGTGCTAGTCTGTCTTAGTACATTGTATATACTTGTAGGTCTCAGCATATTGTATGTGTTTGTTTGTTTTAGCATGTTGATTCATGCTTGTATGCTTTGCATGATGGTAATGATTATTTGCCTTGGCGTATTGCATGTGCTTGTTATTCTTAGCATGATCGTATGATACTTACATTGACATAGCTTATGCGATTCTTTTTTACTTGTGTGAGAACGTAGTCCATTGTTGTGTTACGTGACAACTGCTTACTTTTATGTCTTGTTTAGGCATTGTGGGTTGTTCCAGCTTGGTTGGTTGAGACTGATGCTAGGGCATCATCTCTTGGGGTTTCGTGGTGACCTTGATGTGGTGACGTCATTGAGGTCTTATTTCTAGCGTCTTGGGGCAATGAGTCGGATTGACTCAAGTCCTTCCTCGGGGATTGGAAGTTTTGTCTTCGTAGGCCTTAACGGCGATGTTCCCATGCCCTTTCTTTTTAGAGTAGTGGTTTTATCTTGTGTGGCGTTAGGATTTCACCTTGTGTCTGAGCCAGTCTTGGGAAAGACTTGTAGACTCTTGGTTTCGGGAACCTTAGTGTTTATTCTAGGAGATGATTCACTTCCTTACTGTGAGGGATTGGACTCGTCTGGGTTTTGGGATTCACTTTAGTGAGTTTGTTCTTCTCAGAGGCATTTCATCCCTTCTTGCTTGTGATTTTATGGGATTGTTATTTTCATAGTCATTCCTACATGTTTATATACCTTGTTGTTTTGTGCATGCCTTAGAAATATGTTAGGGGATGTGACTATTTGGTAGTTATGTGATGATATAGGTGATGTGTTTTCATTTACTATATCTGCTTGTCATGCTAGCGTCATAGGTGATGTATAGCATGTCTCTGATGCTTGACCCCTATGTGATAGGTAACATACTTAATTGCCCTTATACACTATGTGTTTAGTTGTTTGGTGCATGGATTTTCATTACGTTTAGTATACTTGTACCTAGTATGCTTGTACGTTGCATATTTCATTTCGTTTTGGTTTAGTATACTTGAGCCGTATACTTGTCTACAATGGATTTAGTACTGCTTAGTATACTTGTAGAGTGTATATTTGTGTATATACATATATTGTATTTCCATTTTGATATTTCTTAGTATACTTGTGAATGTATACTTGTATAGATATATATATATGTTTCATAACTAATTGCCTAATTAGTTCATTTCTTTTATTATTCCTGTACTGTACTTGGGGTTGTATAACCTTGGTTATCGGGATTGTGTGTGTGAGCTTGATCCGATGTCTTGATTCTTAGGCGTAGCCTTGTAGTAGGTCAGCTTTAGCATGACGTGGAGGATTTTGGGTGCATTATTTTGTTAGGAGTCATTGTGACTAGGGGATGATGATGTTGTTTAATTTGTAAAGTCCGATCAATTGGCTTAAAGGCATAGACTTGTCAGGCTTTGGATTTGTAACTGATGTGGTTGGCAACGGTGTTTTGAGACTTGAGGTTGTTAGTTTTTCACGTATTAAGGATTTAAGGCCTTAAGCGTAGCGGTGCCTATGACATTGTTGTCAGAGTTTTGGATTGGCCAGAATGGTTCGGCCGGACATTTTGGACCATATCGCAACTCTCACAGAATGCCTAGTTTCCGTGGTGCTTTTGGTAATGATTGTTTGACATTGATATCATTTGTATCGATAGGTTTCACGGGTAAGCTTGTTGGGGGCAGGTGGCGAATTAAGGCTTTATACTGTCATGCTACCGTACAGGTTGTGTGTGAGCGAGTACTAGTTGTCGTCGATGTTACCTTGCATTACCTAGCTAGTAATGTGAATGTAGGCGGGCACTTAACACTGTGGATGCCACCACACCTTGGGTACGTTGTGGGCAGGTTCTAGTCAGGATTCGTGCTGCCATGTTACTTCTGGTTGTGTTCCTTGTTTAGTTGTGTAGATGCCTTGATCTCTTTTGGGTGGTTGACATTGGGTTAGTATGTCAATTCATTGGAGAGGTTTCTCACTATTCGCGGTTTCGTGTCTCTTCGTTTATTTTGAGACCTTTAGAGTTGTCCTTAGGTACTTTTTGATCTGTTCTTTCGTGTGACCTTGTGTACGGTCCTTCTTCAGTTCTTCTGGGAATGTTCCTGATTTCGGGAACGAAATCTCTTTAAGGAGGGTAGGTTGTAATGACCCGGTTATTTTCTTCCTTTCCTTTTTCCTCAGAATTTTACGGATGAATTTTTTTTGTTGAAAATTTTCTTCTGAGTTCAGTTTCTCGTCGCTTAGTGTCGTCTCGAGTGCTTGGAAATGGTTTCTGAGATTCTTTCCCTTGGATTGACAACTTCCTTTGAGGACCGAGTCATTTCCACATTTTTCATTTTTCGACACTATTCACTTTTCGTCCTTTTCCCTATTTTGTCTTTTCCCCATTTGTCACTTTGTTGGCATAACCTCACTCCTTGTGTTCAGAGTTGGTTTTTAACTTCACATATCTTCATTCTAAGTTGTTTCCACGAAATACGTATATTCACTTTTGCAAGAAAGTACTCTGGTTGCTCTCGGTGTCCATAGGGGCATGGATGCACAGTTTTTCAGAATCTTTTTATTTTCTTGGGGTGTTTTTCACAAATATCTTTTGGAGATATTTTGTTTCAGGGGGTTTTAAGAAAATATTTTTGGAAGATATTTTCATTTTGGGGCAGTTGTGCAGTTTTTAATTTTTGGAGGGGCCATTGTGCAATTAACAAAAGTTATTGCAAAATACCTCGTCTGGAGCTTGGATCCTCGTACAAAATTCATTTTCACATTTCATTGAGTCATGTACTCATAGAATTTCCTTCTGGTCATTTTTCTCCAGTTTTAGGGTTTTTGGCCCTGGTTGCCGCCGAACTTATTTGGGGTATAGGTCTTTGCTCGGGACTCGATTTTTAACGCCATTTCTTCCATTGTTTATATTTTCTCATTTTGAATCTTTTTTGTTCACAGAGTTTTGCCAGTTGAGCTCGTCTGCTCAAATTTCACTTTTTCGGACCCGGCGGGGCCCGTTCTGGGTACTTTTTGAGATTTTCTATAAATAGGGGGACTTAAAATTAAAAAGTAATCTTCTCCCCTCTCCATGCATGACCAAAACCTGCTATGGCAGCCTAAGGGGGCTGCCACCCTTC